TAGGATGGAATTAGGTAAATTCGGCAATTAGTAAGACTAATTTTTTTTGCCTTACAGGAGGCACGAGGCCAAAGAAAAGAAAACAGGGGGCAGGGATCAGATGAGAGGGGTAGAAGGAGAGATCACAATGTTTCTATGAATAGTGATTCTACGCTGATCATCATGTAAAATGTGAAGGGCCTCTTGCGGCGGATCCTCCAATTCATACATGTCGTAGGGATAGACGAGACTGTGCTTGGAGAGCCAGTCCGCGACTCTATTCCCCTCGCGGTAAGTATGAACTAGGTTCACCACCCAATCAAGAGAAATCTTCCTCCTGATGGCCGAAAGAAGAGCAGCATACGGGTGAAGAGGATCTGTCATGTTCCTCACCAGCTGAATGGCCAACTGAGAATCTGACTCAATGATGATGGTCCTATAGCCTTTGTTCCAAACGAGCCTCAAACCATGATAGATAACCCACAGTTCGGCCATAGTAGCCGAACAAGACCCCAAGCTAGTCACAAAACCACCTAGCCAGCAACTGTTGGAGTCACGAATTACTCCTCCAGCCCCAGCCAGGCCTTGGGACTAGAGGTGGCAATTAGGATCCAAATCCATGAATCCAATCCAATCCATCCACCAAATTATCCACTTAATCCAATCCATTTAAATCCAATCCATTTGATCCAAATCCAATTGGATTGGTGGATTCATGGATCAATCCATGGATCCAAATGGCAAATTACGATTTGATACCTATATTTTTTATATTTTACATTTTGGTACCTAAAATTTATATTTTTATACGAAAAAATATCATTGGAAAATTACATTTTGGTTCCTAAATTTTTTCATTATGACATTTTAGTACCTAAAATTTTCAAAATTTACATTTTGGTCCAAGCCTTGGATGTCATTCGGGTCATGGATCAATCCACCAATCCATTTGATCCAACCCATGAATCCACCAATCCATTGGATCTAATCCATTTGATCCATGGATCCACCAATCCAATCCACGAATCCACAAATCCGATCCAATTGCCACCTCTACTTGGGACCCTCCTGCTGCCCCATCAACATTGACTTTCGTCCAACCTGCAGGTGGCGGCTGCCAACCGATATCCGTCATCACCCGGTTCGGCGCCGGGTTTCCCCTTCTGCCAAGCGGTGTCGGAGCATTCCAAGCCCGAATCCAAATATCTGCTTTAATCTTGATAGACTGCATAAGAGAAGGTGCTGACAGGGTCTTATTCATACCTTTGAAGACGCCTTCATTCCTGTTCTTTCACAAGCACCAAAGGGAAATCCCAAAAAAGGCATCCCAGGGGAGTCCTTCAGCTGTAGTCTCATTGCTGGTCAGGTTGCTGTGTAACCATTCCTCCCATGGGAGACTGAAGAAGTCGTGGTGGGCCGCCGAGGGAGCAACTCGATGCCAGAAGAATGCAGCAGGCGGACAGCTGCGGAAAATATGAGACAGGCTCTCGGTCTGGGTAGGGCATCTGTAGCAAGAGTCCTCCTGAGTTAGCCTTCTGTGGGCTCTAAACTCGTTCGAGCTCACCTTTCCCTGCGCAAGCAACCAGATAAAACATCTAACCCGCTCGGGTACAGTGAGATGCCAAATGGTTTTCCACCAGCTCTGCTGAGTGCTGGCGGGAGCTGCTTGGAGGATCTGGTAAGCACTCTTCGTAGTAAAACGACCATCAGGTGTCGGGGTCCAGAACAAGTGGTCTTCCTCCGTAGCCAAAGGATCGACAGCGTGGGCTGTTATCCTGTGCTGGATCTCCTACGGGAGCAGGGAGCCAAACTTCTCCACTTTCCAATTTTCATCCTCGTCAACAAAATCGGACACCGGCAGCTGCAGGTTATCCTCCGAGATCATCTCCGTCGCCATCTCGTATAGGGGTCCCTGCAAAAGCCAATTTTCCAACCAAAACTTAGTCGGATTACCCCGATGGATATTCCAGGCGCAACCTTGCTTAAGTAAATCAGCTGCTTTGGTAAAGCTAGCCCGGGTAAAGGAACTTCCCTGAACGCGCTTAAGAATATCCAGGTGCTGACGATTTCCTCCATACTTAGCGCGAACCATCTGAACCCAGAGATTATCTTTCTCCTGAACAATGCGCCAACATCCCTTAGCAAGCATGGACAGGTTCACCTCTCTACTCGACCTGATGCCCAGGCCTCCATTATTTTTAGGCAAGATCAGCTGAGGCCATCCCACCAAATGGAGATTCCTCTTGGCTTCAGTGTCCCCCCAAATGAAACCTCTATTAATCCTATCGAGCGACCTGCAAACACTCATAGGAAGAAACTCTGTCTGCATAGGGTAAATAGGAATAGAAGTAAAGATAGATTTCACCACCGTGATCCGTGCCGCCAGAGAGAGATGTCTGGTTTTCCAGGGTGCAAGTTTCTTCTGTATTCTCAGCATCAGCTCTCGATATCTATTCTTTGTAACTCGACCATGAATTGCCATCACTCCAAGATACCGACCCAGATCTACAGTGAGTGGAATCTCAGCTCTTGAAGCCAGCCGATGCGCCTTCCTTCTGTCGATGTTAGCCGAAACAAACATGAGCTAGGCAGACCTACCTCCTTGAGAGTATCTCTAAGGAACTCCCATCTCAGGCGATCGTAGGCCTTCTCAAGATCAATCTTCAGAACAATCCCTCCTTTCTTACCCTTCTTTTTCCTCAGAGAATGAAGCACCTCCTGCAAAACAATAATATTGTCTGTGGTTTGACGCCCAGGAATGAAGCTGCTTTGCCTCGGGGAAACCAGCTTCCTCATGATGGGTTTAAGCCGATTAGTGATGGCTTTGGTGATAGCTTTCAGGCAGACATTGTTGAGAGATATCGGGCGAAACTGTGATGCCATCTCCGGGTGATCCACCTTCGGAATGAGCACTACTGTCGATTCCACCACTTCCTCTGGCAGCATCCCTGTAGAGAAAAAACTCATAGCCATGTCAATAAGAGCTTTACCAACCACCTGTCACGAATTCTGGTAAAAAACCGTTTGAAAACCATCCGGTCCCGGCGCTTGATACGGCTTCATATCTTGCACAGCTTGGTAAATGTCTGCTGCAGTAAAAGGCCGCAGGAGAGCCATCAGGTCTTCCTGTCGAATCCTCGGGAACGCCTGCTTTGGCATCTCGTCTGTGTACTCCTGAACGTCCTGCAAGTAAAGAGAGGCAAAAAATTCGAAAACCATAGCCGCCAGCTCCTGAGGGTCTGACACCCACTCTCCATTAACAGCTTTTAGGCTTGCAATTTTGTTCCTTCGCCTCCGGATAAGAGCTTGCTGGTGAAAATACGCTGTGTTGCGCTCCCCAAATTGCACCCATTTCTCTCTTGCTCTCTGGTACCAGAAGATCTCTTCCCTCTCTAGGACTTCATCAAGCTCTCTCTCCAGCTTTGCTTGGAGCTTGAAAAGACCAGGAGAGAACTCATTGGCTATTCTGGTCTGAATCCCCTTAATCCGGCTAAGGAGCCTCCTCTTCTTTTGTAAGACATTGCCAAACGTGTTTTTGTTCCACTCAGCAAGGTCCTCAGCCATCTTCCTCAAGGCCTCATGAAGCGGCGCCTGCGAATCCCACTTATCCTGTAAAAAGTCACCATAAGAATCATGCGTTAGCCATGCTCCTTCAAAACGAAAGGGACGAGGAGAGGAAAGATTAACTCCCTGATTCCCAATCTCTGTCAGAATGGGATGGTGGTCCGAGTGCAGCCGTGGCAGGTGATGAATGGAGGTGTAGGGGAAGGTGACGTTCCATGCGGGGTTACACAGACTTCTGTCGAGCCGATTAGTTTTGTACTCATTTGGCGGTTCTCCTCTAGTCCATGTGAAACGTGGACCGGAATAACCGAGGTCAATGAGCTCCGCTTGATCCATTCTATCGTTAAAACGTTTGCAGCGGTGAAGAATGGCAGTGGAGTTTCTGCCTGCCTGCTCAGAGGGAGAACGGATGGCGTTAAAGTCGCCAGTGAGCAGCCACGGATAGTCATGCTCTTCGCCTATGCGATGAATAGCTTGCCACAGGAAGTGTTGAAACTCCTGCCTCGGGCTCGCATAAACCGCCGTTAAGAGCCAAGGTGGGGTCGAAGCACACTTGATTTTCACCGTGAGATGTGGAAAGCAGGCAGAAACTAGCTCCAGCGTCACGATATTCGCGTCCCAACACAGCCAGATGCCTCCGCTTCTTCCCTCAGCTTCGACTCTCATAACGTTAGGAAACCCTATTCTTCCACATACACGATCCGCCACTTCACCACTGATCTGCGGTTCCAACAAAATCAAAATATCAGGTTTATGGGTGGTAACAATGAGCTTCAGCGCTCTAAGGAAAGCGTTACCACCGGCGCCTCCAACATTCCACGAGCAGATTTTGAATTTAAAATCCAGAAACATAGACATAAAGTAAAATAAAGAAAGAAAAGGGGACGAGAGGAGGAAAGAAAAATGGCAGCAACTCGCGAGGAGTCAGTCCGCGGATGCCGATGCCGCCGACGCAAAAGTCTCCTTCTGGGCATTCTCCTCAGCTGGGAACAAGGTAGCTTTATCAACATGCCCCTCCTTCTCCGCTCCCGTCCACGCCTCAATCTCTTGCAGAGTCAAGTTCGCCATTTTAGCTCTAGCTTTGGATTTCCTTTCCTTGACAGGAGTCCAAATTTGGAGAGCTTTGGCCGCGACCTTCGCTGGTGATTGGCGTTCCTTGGTTTTCCTCTTCCTCCGGTCGCCCTTCGTACGAGTAGCCGCCAATGGAGTACTACTGGCCGCTTCGATTTTCTTCTGTTGATCGATAGTTGGGACTTCCACTATCTGAATGGAGGTCACCGCTGGGCCTGTCGTCTTCTGGGCTTTGGTCGAGACAGAGGGGACCGAACCTTTTCTTGCTTCTTGTTTGGTCCCAGCAGGCCCAACAAGGTTCGGCTCAGGCCCACTTCCAACGGATGACGGGCCGGCCTCAAAGAAATTAAAAGGGGTTACTCCCTTGTTGGATCCTTTTGTTGGGCTTACTCTATTAGGCGGGATGGGCCCAAGGATCCCTTTCCCCCCTGGGCCGAACTAGCCACTTCTTTTTCTCCTTTCTCTTTCCCGTTGAGATGGTTGGCTCCAGCTGTCTTTCCCTTTTCCTTAGCCCCATTCTTACCCGTCTCCTTCCTCTGGTTCAGTTCTCTTTTTTGTTCTACAAAGCTTTCCTTATCTTTCTGCAAAATCTTTCCTTTCCCTTCTTTGCCGGTACTTACTGATTCCCCTGGGATTTCGCTAGCCTTTCCTTTTTCTAGCGAGTGTGTTCCCCTCCGTGATCGCCGTGTGACCTGCATCCATGGCCCAAAGCCTGTTCGGTCCTCCGACGGTGTCGCCGGCGCGTTTCCCTGATCGCTGACTATGACTCCGGCGACCAGCGGTGGACTTATCGCCGCTAGCGTAGAACATGTCAACGAAGTGTGTCCAATTTTTCCACACTCAAAACAGCATGTTGGTAGGTTCTCATACTCGATATATTGCCATTTTCCGTCCAGCCGGATCCGCGTAACCAGCGGCTTAGAGAGATCAAGCTCCACGGCCATCCGGGCAAATTTCGCTCGCTGTTGGTGTTGGGTGTGAAAATCTAGCTTGATTGCTCTGCCCACCATATTCCCAAGTGTGAAGAGAATCTCCTTGTGATAGAAGTGTACCGGGAAGGCTGGGAATTGTATCCACACCACCATCGATCTCGGCAAAGAATCCGACAGACGAAACTCCGGTGTCCACTGAAAAACAATTAAGTAATGGTCAAAAATCACCCAAGGGCCTTCTGTGAGTGCTCGAAAATAGTTAGCATCATTGCTGAGCTTGATCAGAAAGCACTCATGTCCCAGTGCCATGATCTCCATCACCCCTGTCGGCCGCCATAGATTCCTGATCTTGTTGCTGAAGGTCAAGAATGATATATTCAAGCCTAACACTCGGACCACTAGGGTACGTTGCCAGGAGACACACAGCTTCTCTTTGAAACCGCTTGAGATCTTCAATTCTGGCTCACCGTTGAAACTTCCCGTTATCAAGTCGTGTTCTCCGACGGGCGTCCAAGTATCATTCTTTTGAGGATTTTCATTGCTAGCTCCGGCCACCACGTTCGCATATGATAGCGCCATGATTGTTGTCGAACGGGTCGGGCTGTCCTTCAGAGGAACCGGCTCTACTACCATCTCTGTATCGTTTGCTGTAGAAGTGAGATCTTGGGGATTACAGCAGGGGGTGACTATCATCTCCGTTTCGTTAATTCCCATCGAGGGCTGGCTGGGGTCCGGCGGTCTGCCTGACGGATTCAGGTCGGTCGCCGGCAAAGCCTCGAGAGAATTCAGAGCATTCATCTTAGGTCTACCATTGAGTTAATTAGTAAGACTAATGATTTATGGAATTAGGATGAATTTGATTCGAATTGATTGACGGGTGATGATGCTGGTGATCGTGCTGGTGATGCTGAGGTCGAGAATGCCCCACCTCAAGCTGATTTAGGCGTGGGGAAGACGGCGCGGGTCGGGATATCTTCTACTGCCTCCTCACACTTCCGTGGGCCCGATGGACGCTATGCGTCCAAACCTAGTAGCGAGGAAGGCGGAGATGGAAATAGGAAGAGGAAGACCACGAGGAAAGATATGTCGTGGTTTCTTACATCCGAGTCTCCGATGTGTTCAGGTGGACCAGTGATTCCCGATGTGATCCCTAGCTTTGGAGGTCACATTGGCTTTGTACTGTGGACTTCCCCTGAGCAGGACCGTGGAGTGTTGGACGGCTTCCATAGGCCGAAAGCTGTAGAGACTTTGAGGCGATATAAGTGGAGTGCAGAGGGTTCCAAGGAGATGGTTGAAGCCACAGGATTGTCTCACTTGACAGGGTGCATGATGCAGCATTTAGACATGGCTCTACTATCGGCATTTGTGGAGAGGTGGCAGCCGGACACAAACACCTTCCACATGCCGTTTGGAGAGATTTCGATCCTTCTACACGATGTGCATCACATTCTTCGGATAGCGGTTGACGGAGAGCTGATGGGAGATGAGGCTTCGCCAGATACTCTTAAGTCAGACATGGGTGGTCTAGTTCGACTTTCGGTGGATGCTCAGGTTGGTGGTAAGTGGAAGTCTAAGTGGTACGATAATGGTGCTATGCATGCAGAGGGATTGTTGGTGAGTGGGGGAGAGCTGAAGATTAAGGAGATGGAGGTGCAGTGTTACCTATTTGTGTTACTGGGATCCACGCTTTTTGTGGACAAGAGTCGTGATCGCATTCGTCCTGTGATCAACTTGTTTCTGAAGGATCATCTACAATTGACTGATTACGCTTGGGGAGCTGGTGCACTAGCCTATCTCTACAGACAGTTGGGAGTAGCCATACGAGCGGGTAGTAAGGGTCTTTGTGGTTGTTTGACCCTGCTTCAGGCTTGGATATATGAGTACTTTCCTCTATTCCGTCCGAGCCAGCTGCCGCAGTCTCCGGATGCACCTCGTGCTTCCTCGTGGATTTCTCCCCGTTTGCCAGGTGGAGATGAGGCTAGACAGAGGTTAGCACGTTATCAACAGTTGTTGGATGAGCTTTCAGCTGATGATGTGACCTGGACTCCGTACGGACGAGATGGCCACACAGATATACCTCGCTCCTTGTATACTGGCCCCATTCGCTTTTCTGACATTGCTGAGGGATACGATCCTGCACGTTGTCTGCGTCAGTTTAGATACCGACAGATTATCCCCCGTGCTATGACGGTACCACATGACCAGTACCGTCCGGCTTCCGACAGCAGTTACATAGTCTTTTGGGATCCGTGGGTGAATCAGTTGTGGGATAACGTGGCAGCCCATCGTCTAGATTTGAATTTTGCTTCTCGGCCGTGCGAGCACCCATCGGAGATCGTGGAGGAGTACGTTGACTGGTTTCTGATTAGATCGCACCCACGGATCACCCACCCCACTGATGGGGTGCCTCAGCCTTGACCACTACTAGTTCATCAGGTTAGTTATGACTTTCTTTTGCTTTTCCAAATATAAAGGACATTTGTTATTTATTCTAACATTGTTTTCTATTTACAATTGAGAGAGCAGATTGTGGATCATTTAGGTCCCGTGTTGCTGACGAGGGACCATAGTAAGTGGGAGGAGGACGGTGGTAAGTTCTATGATATGGTAGCTGGGGTTTTCGAGTTGTACGACCAGTTGGTAGGGCAGCCGCCTTAGTAGACGATTGTGTTTTTTATTTGTCATCGTTTGTAGTTGAACTGAGACTATTGTGCTTTTTATTTGTCATCGTTTGTAGTTGAATTGAGACGATTGTGATTTTTATTTGTCATCGTTTGTAGTTGAACTGAGACTATTGTGTTTTTTATTTGTCATCGTTTGTAGTTGAATTGAGACGGTTGTGTTTTTTTACAATAGAGACATTCAATGCATTGCTAAAATAGTTAATCAACATGGTAGATTACTAAATGTTTCAACAATAGAGAGTTATACAATTCGTAAATATACTTCCAATCGTCATCCCCGTGGGTTCAAACTATCATAAAGCGCACGCTCATGTAAGAAGAATTGATCCCACCCATTGACACTAGGGTCATGAAAAATAGGCCAAAGGCCATTAATTGGAGGCATGGGCACTTGACCATGTCGAAAGTCAAGTCGCACCCAATGATCCCCCGTAAAATGTAGTGATAAGATCCCACGTGGTCTTGTTACTCCTGGTGGGGCCGTCACAGGTAGCACCGTATAACTAGGAATGTCAATGGGGCAGGTTCGGGGCGGGTATCTCGATACCCATACCCGCCCCATGGCAGGTCGGGTCCAGGTCGGGTAATTTATCACGGGGCGCGAGTCGGGGCAGGTCGACCCAATGGGTATGTAATTTATGGGGAAAACATTAGAAATATTCGTTCTTTTCATTGAAAGACCAAGAAAGAAACCATAATATGATAAAATGTAATTAAATTATTGAAGAAATTGAGGTTTTCACTTATGTAAACCTTTATTATAGCTAAAATATAATGTAATAAGAGGAATATCTTAAGTAATTTGACTAAGATTATATGTCATTTAGGCAAGAACGGGTCAAGAATGGGGCGGGTCAGGACAGGTCGGGTCGATGAGAGATACCCATGCCCGCCCCGCCCCGCCTACGGGGCGAGTTTGACCCACCCCACCTACGGGGCGGGTTTGACCCACCCCAAAACAGGTCAAACAGGTCGGGTAAATTGGGTCAGGTCGAAATTTCCATCCCTAGGTATAACGACCGACTTGACTATATACAACGATAGCCCATGAATGCAAGGTGGCGAAGACGAAGAGTTCCGCATTATCCATCCAGTTGGGAGGTCCACAGCCACTTGTTGATGCCCACCTGCAACGTCGAATGCCATTTTCTATTCCATTTGCTATTCCATCATAGTAGTCTCTATAAAGCTCAGGACGGGATTCAAGCTCCTCTACAACAGCGCGTCTCATTTGTGGCCAATTCCTTTGGTCCCCAGTAAATGCTTGTGATATAGCTCGAAATCCACAGTGTCCATCTGGAATAGGGTTGAACCAACCACGAACTAGTCGTTGCACGTAGGATTCCAAACAATGTAGCCATGGGTAGTTCTTCCAACTAGTATTGGGAATCCGAGCAACCCTCCACGGGGCACCATCTAGCCAAAGAGCATAACACAATAAATTAATACAAAGAGTTATACAATATGTTTACCCGAAATTAGGAATATAATTTCTAACCTGTATCATTATGGATCACCGGCTTCGTCCTATTCTCGAAGTTGGTTTGTGCATTCACATTCGGGGCACCACCTATCTCATTTAAAAAAGTAGATTAGTTGTACACTATATTGAGGACAATTGAACACAACTAATAAAAAAAGTTAATCTACCTGTATTTCCATCATTGTCTGGAGTTGCAGTCGGAAGTCTTCAACTTCTCCTCCCTCGTCTCCTCTCCACATGCTCGAAGTGAGATAGGTTTCGAGTGGTGGACGTCCTTGGGCGACCGGGGCGGGGCTGTCCCCCATGCGGTTCATCAATGCCATCATTTTCAGGATGAAGATGGCTCCGGAGTAGGCCGATTGCACCTCGAACAAGGCGAAATCCCGATTTTCACGTCGTGCTAACTGAATGGAACATCTACATGGGAGACCATAGGTAGGAGGAAACGTACATGTACAAGGTTCCCCTTCCACTGCTACCTCGAACAACATCAACCTCAGAGCTTCTAGAGTGACTTTCGTATTCAACTCTCGAAATGGTTTTCCATCCGCTCGGAGCAACTTCTTTTGTCAGGAATCCTCTAGAAGCTTCCTGATTTGAAGGTGTTGAGCCTCAATGTAATCATCGTTCTTCTTGAATACCTACCCAAATGAAGAACAATTAGGAGACTACTAAAACTTATGTGTATATCAATGAAGATTTATTAGGAGACTAATCGTGTCGACTGCGCCAGTAGATGATTGAAGCCACTTCTTGAATGAGGAATGGGCAGCTTCAACCCTATTAGAGCTTGTGTTACCCAAATGCCGCACTTGATTGGTATAACATTTAGCCCACATTTGTCTAACTGGTAACCACTCAGCTGCCATATACCCCCAAAGACGTCAGTACTGTTGATAGCATCGTATTTGCACGTGTTTTCACTTTGGTTTCCTGTCCATTTTGGCTCGAATTGATGGTTCCTTGGCCTATTTTACGCTAGGTTG